AAAAAAATATGCTGTTTACTCCTGAATCATTAAACAGACTAAATCCACCCAAATGCCAATATGATTGATAATAATAGGGTCTTAGTGATGTTTAAGTAAAAGGTTACTTACATTTTTTTTTTTTTTTTTTTTTTTTTTTTTTTTTAATCAAGCAAGAACAAAGCTCACCAGAGTTTTTGAGGCAAATTATAACAGAAACCTCTCATAAGCCTAGGTAAAGGTCATTTCATCAGTGACTGGGCCAAAGGCTTTTCTCTTCTGTTCATAAGTTTTTCCATGTTGTGCCCAAATGTCTGAGGCTCAACCAAATGACAGATGCCAGCACCCAAAATTTAAAAAAAAAAACCAAAAACCCATTCCATAGAAGATATGGACTAAGGCAATGAAAGTTTGATACTCTTGTTCTATTTAAGGGAAAATCAAGGTCATACCAATCTTTAATATGTTAGAGTAAGACTCACAAGGGCTTTTAGTATAATAGCTTTTTCTCTTAATAGGAAACATTAAAGAAAACCTTTTGTTATGAGGAAATTTGTTTAGAGACAGGTAAGAAAATCAGCTCAGCAATTGAACATCGTCTTCCAACTTCAAGAAGATTGCTGTTTCAAATATAAATGTTTTAATTTTTAACATTTTAAAATTTTAAACCAAAGCTTTATAGTAAGTTAGTGATAGAAAGAGGATGTAGCACTTCATTAGAAATAAAAAGTTTACATAATGCCCCTCAGTCAATATTCAGTCAATATTGAATGAAACAGACCACAAATGTATAAAGAGGAAATGCATTATATCAAAGGTTCTTTGTAGGCATTTATCCTGTGTTTAAGCATAGGTGACAGTTTCATTAAAGAGAAGTATTAACTTACTTTAGTGGGCAATGGACATTCATCTAGTAACAATGTTATAACAGCTGGTCCCAGTGGATCTTCCAATGGAATAACTCTAATTAAAGACTGGACAACATCCAACCATCCTTCATCTAAGAGCAAATCAATAAGATTATATGGTAGAGCCACTATTTCTAAAATGTGAAAATATATCACTTATAACACAAGGTGACTTTATATTAAAATAGAAACACTTTTGGCTTTCATCTTGTAGCTTTTAAGCAGTTAACATTTGGCATAGACAGTCATTAATTGTAGTCATCACGGTAGAACCAAAGATTCTTAATTTGCAGGAGCCTCGTGATTTGGGGGCATCTTTATTTGGAGAGAATTGAAGCTATGGTCCTGGGTTCTCAAATTATAATTAAAACAGTTTTCAGCATCTTGTTTATAACATAGGAGCGTACTGAGAAGATTAAATATCTGAAGCAGTTGGCTCTACTGTCAGAATGATACTTAGGAAATTAAGGGCCAAAAAACTACCCTTCCCATTCTGGAAGAGTTTTGGTCAAAGATCTGTCAATGCTCCCCCAAGTTCTCTTTTAATAATTTAGGTGAAATAAAACCGTTGCTGAGAGGTGCAGCTACATATTCAGGATGCAATATATAGTGATTATTAATTTTTACCTTTGGATAGGAAAACTTCTGCACACGTAACGCTTTTAATGGTCATGTGTATTAAGTACTTTTGGAATCTTTTATTTAAAAAAAGTGGTCATATTTTCCATAATTATGAATTCATTAGAAAATATTTTTTTAAAAATTTGAAAAATACCTGTTTCTGCCATTTCGTGCAATGTAATCATTGAATAGGGAGGTTCCTGATCACTGAAAAACAAATAGTTAACACATCAAACTTGAAGAAATAAGAAATGACAATTCCAAATAAAAATTCAAACTGACAGTGTGGTATAGAAAGAGAAAGAAGAAATGAACATGGAAGGTTGTGGAGAAAGAGATGGAAGAGACAACTGGAGATACATGCTGTGAGGACAAATATACACCACATGTGTTCATTTTCAAGACCAAGACCATCATCTGTGATGGCCCACAAATAAAAGGGGCGGGAAGGCATAGGCACGGACCACCACATGGCCTGGAGCAAAAGCATGGGACTAGAACTGGAGACCACAGAACTACTCAGCTTTCCTCTAGAGGCCCAATGCCAACCAAGATGAGCTAGGGAGGCCAAAATTATCTTCCTCCAACTTACCTCAAAGAAACACCAGGAAGGGAGATTACAATCTCAACTGAGGATTTATGGAAGCAAGCGCCTACATAAACGTCTTCATTTTTAAGTGTTCTTCTGGGAGATAACACTATTTGCTTAAGTTTCATAAAATGGCAGTAGAAGAAAAAGAAACCAAACTTAATCAAGGAGATATTTAATACTGTAGATGATGCTCTAAAATGGCATTATAAACTGTAATTTAGTGGGTTTTCAATCTGTGATCCCAGGATACTTAAGGAAGTGCTTTAGGGGAACTTCACTAATGAACGAAATATTTTCCATCAAACAATGATAAATCTAATTACTTAGATCTAATTCAGGTTTATTTACATATCGTGGCTCTCTGCTTTACTATGAAGAAACCTGTAAAAACTATTGTTTTCAATCATTTAATCCTCAGAATACTCTTATGATATGGAAATTATTAAGTTAATTTCAGGTACTCATTAGGTACTGGTTATCTGACATACCCTGTACCTTTCCATAACAAGGGAAAATTATCATTTAAAAGATTTGCCTTAGCGGCACCTGGGTGGCTCAGTTCCTTAAGCATCAGACTCTTGACTTCAGCTCAGGTAATGATCTCATGGTTTGTGAGATCTAGCCCTGCATGGGGCTCTGAGCTGACAGCATGGAGCTTGGGATTCTCTCTCCCCCTCTCTCTGCCCCTCCCCTGAATGCGCGCACACACACTCTCTTTCTCTCTCTCAGAAGAAATAACAAATAACCGTTCAAAAGATTTGTCTTAAATGATGTAACTGACCAATTACAAATATTTCTGGAGAGCAATCCGGCAATAATGAAATTAAATGTCCCAACAATGCCAGAGAAACTATTAACATAGGTAATAGATGTGTAGGAGATTATTTGTCATAATGCTATTTGTAGGAACAAAAATTTGGAATCAATGTAAGCGACCATCACCAGATAACAGGATAACAAAAATAAGACTTTCAAACATACAAAGGAATAATCTGCAGGACTCAGAAGCAGTTGTAGCTTGACACACAGCAACATAGGTCTCAAATAATGTTGACAGAAGTTAAAAACAAAGATTTATGTATCACTTATGTAAGTTTTTAAAATCACACACAAAATACTACTATAAACTTCCTATAGAGCCACAAACATACATATGGCAGGCAGATTGGAAGAAAATAACCTTAAATTCACGAGAATGGTTACGCATTGATATTTGGTTAGTGGGTCAGGCAAAGGAGACAACAGGATTAGGGAAAAAGGAAAGAATAATAAAAATGTGGTAGAGTCAGTGACCAATGAGGACTACAACACCTCGATTCTACACAGATGCACTTTAAGGACACACACACACATCCTTACATTCAAAAAACAAGATAAACTTCTCTGTGGAACAGAAATGCAACAGAAATTCCTGGTGGGACGCAGGAGCTAAAGCTGCAGGACAATGGGGCTCACTGTCTGGAACTAGACAGAGGTGACCAGGAGCTCTATGCCTGCAGGGCAGGTAATGGGGACCAAAACCACACCTGTGCAAGGGATGGAACAGACTCAGGAAGTGAAGCTCAGATGGGGTTCCCCTCTCAGTGAAAGAAGTTGGAAGAAAGTTAGGAATGACAATCTGACCTACAACTGATATCAAGCTGCAAGTCTCCAGTGACAGAAAAGGCAAAGAAAGCCATGTAGCAGGACTCAGGCTGTGGGAATGCAGACCTGCCAATTTTAGGTTAAGTCGTAGACTGAAGGTAGATGGAGATAACAGCAAAAATGACAGGAAGAGAGACAGGATGACAGAGAGGAAGACAGAACAGACGCAGACGCAGACACACACACACACACACACACACACACACACACACAGAGTGAGGAAAAAACTTCCATCAGGAGGAGTCTGTAACTTAAAGTCCCAAACTATATGAGAATAATATTAATACCACTGACAATTTGAGGATAAAGTCACTACCAAAAAAAAAAAAAAAATGCAAATAAGAGAACTTCAAAACGACTTTAAGTATATTTAAAGTGTGTTTCCTATATAAGCCTCTCACTACAGCTTTAGAAACTGCTCCCCTCTCTCAGATCAACATCATCCTTTCCTAAGTAACAAGCAGAATAAGGGGAACAATCAATACCAATTATTCTAGAATTGTGACATCTGCATACATCCTTTTAGGTATATTCTTACCAAGTCCATCAGTCCTATCTTCCACGGTTAGTTTTAACAGCCTTATAAACTTTATAGGTATGAAATTCTTCTCCTTTAGTAGTTTCTGAAAAACAAGCTACAGTGACTATGTTTGTAACTGTCTGAACGCTGTTTGGCCATTAGCTTCTCGAACAGGTCCCGTCACACTTGCTCTACATCTGCCTTATTTGCTCCTTCTCAGAAGAGTTATAGCTATAATTTGGTATAAGCAGGTTTACGGTAAAGATGACCCTATTACTCAAATGTACACTATTTGCCTCAGGTTAGTGAATTAGTTGCTTCATCAACAAGTTCACTTATAATGTGTAATATTTTCTAAAAGATTGGAGATAAATCTCCTACTCTGCTTCCATACTGTCTTAATCACTTTCTTAAAAAATACGGCAAAGCCTATTCTGTACTTCTCGAATGGGCTTAAATAACACTGCTTGTGGTTTCCTTATTTGGGAAGGGAAACTTTTCATTATAATTTTATAGTATGTTTTAAATGTCACCATGCAGAGAGGCACCTGGGTGGCTCAATCAGTTAAGCGTCGACTCTTGATTTCAGCTCAAGTCATGACCTCACAGGGTTGTGAGATGGAGCCTTGTGTGTGTGCACCCCACCCCCACCCCCCAGGTGCAGGTCTACTTAAGATTCTCTCTCCCTGTGCTCCTGTCCTGCTCACGCGCTTGCATGTGCTGTCTCTCAAAAACAACACAAAACAAACAAAAAAAAACAGGCACCATGAAGAAACTTTAAATAAGTTTCTAGCTTCTTGACTGAGTTTGAGGGATGTAAATGGCATAGATTTATATTCAATAAATATTTTCTACAAACATATGAGCATTAAAATTCATAAAATTAACAACAAAACAAGAGGTGTTGGTGAGGATGCAGAGAAAGGGAAACCTTCTTGCACTGCTGGTGGAATACAAACTTGATACCTGCCTAGAAAAAAGAAATTAACTGGAATTCCTCAAAAAACTAAAAACAGAACTATGACCCAGCAATTGCACTATTAGGTATTTACCTAAAGGATACAAAAATACAGATTCCAAGGGGGTACGTGCAACCCAATGCTTCTAGCAGCATTATCAACAATAGCCAAATTATGGAGACAGCCCAAATGTCCCTTGACTGTTGAATGAATAAAGATGTATATATACAATGGAATATTGCTCAGCCATCAAAAAAAAAAATAATCTTGCCACTTACAATGATGTGGATGGAGCTAGAATATATTATGCTAAGTGAAGAAAGTCAATCAGAGAAAGAAAAATACATGATTTCACTCATATGTGTAAGAAATAAAACAGATGGATATATAGGAAGGGCAGGGAAAGAGAAGAGAGGGAAACAAACTACAAGAGACTCTTAACTGACAGAGAACACACTGAGGGTTGATGAAGGGAGGTGGGTGGGAGACGGGCTAGATGGGTGGTGAGTATTAAGAAGGGCACTTGTGATGAGCACGGGGTGTTGAATGTAAATGATGAATCACTGAATTCTACCTCTGAAACCAATGTTGTACTGTATATAAACTACAATATAAATAATTTAAAAAAAGAAATAAAAAGAGTCTATCCACAGTATAAACAAAATTGAGTCAGATACCAGAACTGCTTCAAAGGCTGGTATTAATAACGTTGGAAGACCTTTCTGAATTGGTTATGGAGAAGATTTGTAAGAACCTCCTTTCCCCGGCCTGTTCTACAGCAGATATTAAGATGTACAAAATAAATTTATGTCTATGAGGGAAAAAATTCCCCTCAGAATAATATGCACAGGTATACCTTGCTTAACGCTATAATTTTGAGGAATTAAAACTAGGTTTTATAAAAGGGATTATCAAATATTTAGATACTTAAATTTACTAGCAGAGCCTGAGGCAAAAAGAACCCAGATATAACTTTAAAAAAAAGTTGGGGCACCTGGGTGGCTCGGTTGAATGTCTGGCTCCTCTTGATTTCAGCTCAGCTCA